TTAGTTCTATTATTAGATGGAACACCTACCAGATGCTTACTACTTCTGGACCACTTTGTAGAAATAGCGGTCCGAACCCTACATGAAACAATTTACCTATATTTTTATTGATGAAATTAGTTATATATATATATATATATATATCTGTGTGTGTGTGTGTGCGTGTGTTGAAGGGAAAAAAAAAGTATATGAAAACAAAACTTCCAATTAATCATTTTATCATTATTTTTTTTTTTTTGGTTGGGTAAGTCAGTAGGGAAGAAGGCCCTCTACCCGTTTTTTATTAATAAAAGTAAGCAAGAAATTGTTCATTATTTTACAACCTTATAGTGGGGCAGTTGCGTCAAATCATGACATAAAAGCAAGAAAGTAAAGTTTGACGGTCTAGAATGCCAAATAATAGCTCTAATACTGAAGGAAGCTTTCTAAGCAAAGGCATCAGCTACCATGTTAGCCTCACGAAAAAAATGGGAAATTAACTAGGTACAAGTGCAAAATTTGCTCCGACAGTTGGCCGCAATCATATCCAATCTCCATGAGGCATATGGCAGCAATCATGAATGACATTCACAAGTAAGAATGAATCGCTTTCTATTTGGAGAGGAAAGTAATCCCTCTTAAAGCCACTTTTTTCACATCTAGCTCTTGAATATGAGAAGAAATTCAATTAACAATTTGTTTCTTTCTTGTAGACCTTAACTGAAAAATTATCCTATTAAGCTCCTCCCATAGAAACCAAATTATTGTGAAGAAGATAGGAGTCCAAATGTTAAAAAGGTCATCTGATTTAAATATGAAGACTAACCAACTTCTTAAGATAACAAGTACGAAAATGTTAGAAGTAAATCGTTTACCACACCGCCATGCGATTGACCTCTATACACCATACGAGAACACACAATGAAAAAATGGATGACAAATATTATCATCATTGTTCCCACAAAAGGGGCATATATTGTCCGGATCAACACCATGTTGTTGCAGAAGAAATGTAGTAGGTAAACGATTGTGAAGGGCCAACTAAGAAAATCATTTGGCTCTCCGATGACATTTAGAAGACCAGAGAGCTCGAAAAATCAGTTGTGATGATCCTTTGTCACAAATAAAATCTCAAGCTTCTTTAACTGAAAACATACCACTAACAAAGTGAATCCGTACCAAGAAATGTTTTTTTGGCTATAAAGGAATAATGTGACTTTTAACCTCCTTACAAATGCTAATAAGAGGAGTGAATGTGGGTAAAGGCCAAGACTGAGGGGAACCTCCCATGTAATCAAAAACTTTACGTCTGCTCAAATCCTTGTGAACATTGTTACCAAAATGATCTCATATGGACTGCCTTGATAACCAAGGATCAGCCCAAAAATTCACAAGCTGGCCATCCCCAATAATCCATGGCATATTATCCTTCAAATGAAATAAACCCAACAGAATACCCTTCCAAGCATAAGAACAATATTGTTTCGCTTTGGCCTCTCATATAGAAATATTCTTAAAATATATGTGCTTGAAAACCATAGCTAATTGATACGAGGAGTTTGCCAGGATTCTTCATGACAGCAGTAAAATCAACAATGTTGCGTACCCTTAACCCCCCCTTGTCCCTAAGTTAGGCAAACTGTCTTCCTTTTAACAAAGGTGAACACCATTTTTTAGACCACACTTGCCCATAAAAAGTTCTTCTGTAATATTTCAATCATATTGCAAGTACATTTCGAAAGAATTAAAAGATATAATCCACAAAATAGATAATGCACTGAGTACTAATTTCAACAACTGTAAACAAATAGCTTATCATGTACCAATCTTACCAATAATCTTGTCAACCAAACTATGGCAATAAATTTGCTAAATCCAACTCCTTCAAAATGGAGGATTGAACAGCCTATGTTATACCAAAAAAAAATGCTTTGCTCTTTGTAGTATTCAACTTCTTACCAATAGTAAGTTCAAAGTTGGAGAGGACCCCTTTTATAGTAATAGCAAAGGTAATAGATGCTTTACAAAAAATGATTGCATAATCAATACAAAATGAATGTGAAACCCAATAGTCACATCCCAAAGGAAAGGCCTTGAAAATCATCCCTTGCACCATACATAATCAATTTGCCTATTAAGAATGGCCATAACCAACAAAAATAGATATGGAGATAGGATGGGGGGGGCTGCCTTAATCATCTTTACTCTCTAAAGAAACCCTTTAGAGAGTCATTTCTTAACATAAAAAAACAAGCAGTTGAACCAATGACACAAAAAATTATGGAAATCCTAAAGCATGCACCCTAGCCAAAATAAAGGCCCAAGACACTATATCATACGTACTATTCAAATCATGTTGCAAACACATTTTTGCCCTAACTGCATTTTTATAACAAAGAAAAATGAACTCTTTTGATATAAGAATGTTATATATGATGAGTCTGCCTTTCAAAAAGGCAGCTTGTCTAGGGTCAATAAGATCATCGAACATGTCATTAAAAAACACATAAAGACTAGTAGGATCAAGGGGCTTGTCATCCATGGAGAGAACCTTACCATGGCTGGGGTCACCCATCACAGCCATATGCAAGTCACAAACCCTCACAACCATAGCTTGTGCTCGAAGGTTTCACCATTTTCACAGAAACCCTCACCAATTGAATGCTTACAAAGGATTTTAGAGTGAGAAAAGAAAAAAGTAGTAAGTCGTGGTGGTAAGTTGTTCGTTGGAGATGGAAAACAAACCTTTTTTTTTTTTGTTCGCAATAATATGAACTAGTATATTCGTTGCCCTTCTATCATAAAATGTTTCATTTTGTATGAAAACAAAACTACATCCAACTTATGGGGATGCATTTTCTGAGTTTTATTTTTACAGGCAAACCCACTATTTACTATTCACTATTTACAATATAATAGATTATATAACATTTTATTGGGAAAATATTTTTGTACGCCTTCACTTTTAAGTTCATTCCTTTTGACACCAACATATTAGCTCAATCAAAAGTTCAAAAATAAATCCCTTTTTTTTATTCTTTTCTAGACCCCCTACTCTCTCTCTTTCCATATTTCTCCTCAAAACAACCTCCTTTTTCTAATATTGAAACAATATCTTTTGAAAAATATATTGTTTTTAATATTGAGAAAAAAGGAGATACATTTGGAGAGAAATACGAGATAAGAAAAAAAAGGGGATTTAAAAAGGAATACGAAAAATGATATCTTTTAAACTTTTGTTTGGGTTTTTTTAATATTGAAAAAATATCTTTTGACAAATATCATTTCTTTAATATTGAAAAAAAGAAAGAGCTTCGGAGAGAAATACGAGAACATGGAGAGAGAGAGAGAGAAAAGGGGATTTAAAAAGGAATAAAAAAAAATGATACCTTTTAAACTTTTGTTTGGGCTAAAAAGATGGGTGAGGGGGCAAGTTGGTCCAGGAGTTTAGAAAATATAATACATGGGATCTTTATGTTGCCAAATATATTTTGAAACCTTGGATTTATTAATAAATAAAACTTAAAAAGATGGTGTAGGGAGATACTTTCCCTATTTTATTATAGATTAAATAATATTTTAAATATAGAACTTTATATTTTAATAATATTAAACCTATAACATAAAAATTATACACTAGTTTAAATTATATTATATTATATAATATTAGATATTATATGGGATTGCCTACAAATAGACCATTTATCTTTTGTACAAGGAGGTTATAACTATTTTCACTCGTTAAATATCAAATTTAATGGCTTGGGATGAGTCACGAAGTCTAAGATATTTTTTTTAAAAAATTTATGTCTAATCAATGACACTCTTACAACCATCTATTTTGAAATTTAAAAGACAAGAATGATTGTGACCTCCCCGTACAAAAAGTAAATTGTCTCTTTGTAGACAATTCCTATCATCTATTATTATGAATATTGCTTTATACGTTTTGCATAAGGGAATAAAGTTATATGAAACAAAACTCACGGGAAAACATTTTACTATAAAATGTTCCACTTTGCATGAAAACAAAACCACACCTCAACCCATGGAGAAGTATTTCTTGGGTTTCATTTCACATGCAGACCTACTATTAACTATTCGATATTTAGATATAGTATATGTTATATAAGAGTTATGTTAAGGTGCTCACACTATATAATAATTTGTTATTGTACTCAATAAATTTTGGACATTTCTATCGTTGTTTTGTATATGGATCATTTTTTTAATAAGGGTATTTTTGATAATTATGAGGGATGTGTTGTCATCTACATGGGGTGTGACATGACCTATATAGAGTACGCTAGTGGCACTAACAACTGTTCTAATGACAAAAAATACCTCTACTAAAAAAAAAATCTATGTACAAAACAATAGTATATAAGTGGCCAAATTTGTTGAGTACAATGATAAATTACTCAATAGTGTAAGCACCATAACATAACCCATTATGTAATATTATATTTACATACTAAATAATATATTAAATATATATATTATATTTTAATAATATTAAATATT